TTATATTTAATTTCAGGTCGGGTATGAGTTTACGCAGTTCTCTCCTAAAACAACCCGGGTAGCCATTCCTAAGTTTAATAAAACAAGATCTAAGAACCCTAATTGTCTAACAAGGATTCAATTCTAATAGCTTCCATATAAATAGGTTTATTATGATGTATAGTCGATTCAACCTGAAGATTCAGAATTTTACCCTAAGATCGGGGGTTCTCCGAAACGAGTCTCACAATAGACTGACAAGGTTGAGAATCTAAAAAGCAGACGTCTAGGTTGCTTAGGGACCTCCTGTGGAAGAGTCCTTGATCCAACCCCAAATATGGGACCTTGAGAGTAATTTGAAAATTTGATTATCAAATTGTCGAATCATGATCCGATTCCTGTTTTGATGGAAACACATGTTTAGAAACAGGGAAGTTTCATAGCTATAAAAAGACCTATGTTCTATGTTCTTTTTAAAAAAAAAAAACATTCCTCTTTTTGTTGATTTAAATTTCTTATATTCCCGGTTTTTATTTTTGAAATTATGAAAGATGTTTTTTTTTTCTTTTTGATGCTTTCAAGCATGGAACATCTTTGCACCATCAAGGGACTTTTACAATTTGAGCTGCAAATTTTCTCCATTTTCAACAATTTCACTTTGCATTTTCTCAATTGTAGTTATTGATTTTCTTAATTCCCATTGTGTTTATCTACTGAAATGGTTTCCATTGTTGATGAAATTGAAATTGATTTTATTTGATCAAATTTTCATCTTTATTGTGCAGAATGGACGGGATACTCTTTGGCCCCATGATCCTCGAACAGGATGGAGTTACTGCATCACAATACCATCATGGATTGTCCTTCCAAAATCAAGAGATTCAGATCCTGTAGTGGTACTCAAATTGAATGACTATCCGGTGTTTATGTATACCCAGGGTTAGATTTTGTTTTAATACTGCCTTCTAGGATTTTGAATTGATGATTTCTTGTACTATGGAAGTTGCAAATTTTGGCATGTTATCATAAGCAATATCACTAAATGTCTGCGAGTAAACCAGTTTTTGGCATCCATGTTTTGACTTTTTGTAGGGTTGTAACCTTGCAAGAACTATAATAGGAGATCTGCAATACCCTTAGAAAAGAGGCTAGTAATATATTTTGTAAACAGTTAGGTGTGACATCAAGAACATTCTCGTGCTTATTATCTTTTTTTCCTGTATAAAATGCTTTTGTCTTACTTAAAAATAAAATATTTTCAGATATATGGAATCTCTGATGAACTTATTACCTTATTAGATAAATGTTAGTCCCTTATGACAGTGACTATTACCATCACGAATGGTGACCAGAAGCCCTCCAACCAAGGAGGGGAAGGTTTTGGCCTACTGAGGCAAGAGGTCCCCTTCAATATTTTGAGTCTTATGTTAATCAGTAGGGGTCCCCAATGCATAGAGTATCTGTCATATTTGGTTGTTAATTTGTTCATACTTGGTTAGACTATACGAGCTTTGGCATGTTTTATATTAACATTCTTAAGGGGCAGTTTTACAGGGTTCAGGTTGGTTTGCAATCCCCAGATGGTGTTACAACAACACGAGGGATATTGAGAAGATTTAATGACTTTTTGAAATTATTTGCTGATGTAAGTTTGTGATTTATTTATGGGTTAGTTCCTTATGAAATCAGCTGTCAGGAAATTGAAACTCATTAAAATGCCATAATTTTTATTTGGTTCATAAATGCTAGCAGTTAGCACGAGTCAAACTCTTAGGTTCCAGTTAACTGTAAAAAACTCTTTCGAGTTTTCATTTATGTGTTGGTTCCTTATGAAGTCCGCCGTCAGGAAATTGAAACTCATTAAAATGCCATAACTTTTATCTGGTTCATAAATGCTAGCAGTTAGCATGAGTCAAACTCTTTGGCCCCAGTTAACTGTAGAAAACTGTTTCGAATTTTCATTTTTAATATTTATATATGGATATACTTTTAATCATCAAAGTATAGTTATTAACATGAAATCTTGGTTAGTAAAATGATATTGAAAATTTGACTTGAGTTTTAACTCATGTCATAGTTTTACTATACTTTTTTTATGTTTGACAATTAGACACTTTTTGTTTAAAAACACAATTTTTAAAAATATACCCAAAATAGCTTTGTATATCTAAATAGGGCCTTACCTTCTCTAAAGAGAGAAAGACCTAACGGTCTGTGCTAAGCCTCTTTGGTTGATAACTCTTCTTATTTGAAAATTAAGGATTGCTAATTTGAGGACATAATTATGTTTTTTATTGGCTTTCTTGCTTAGCTTAAAAAAGCATTTCCCAGGAAAAATCTTCCACCAGCTCCACCAAAGGGACTCTTGCGAATGAAAACCAGGGCTCTGTTGGAAGAGGTATGGATGTTTTGGTAAAATGATCTTACACCTAAAGAACAGAAATAGACTATTCATCTAGAACAGCACCTTTTTTTTTGGTTTTCTACCATTTAAGAAACTTTTTATGAGCTAGATTTGTGATTTGTGTTTATGTTCGTTGAAACTATAGTTATCTAGAAGGTCATGTCATACACATTCATTACTTGTGAAATTCTGGTCATAAGTGTTCAGATCTTATAAGTGTGATGCATATTCGTTAAGCAAGGTTACTTTCATTTTTAACCACAAGTAATATCCTCAAAAGGTCTAGCCTTGTTGCAGAGAAGGCGCTCTTTGGATGACTGGATGACAAAGTTACTATCTGATATTGACTTGTCCAGAAGTGTCCAAGTAGCATCCTTTCTTGAATTAGAAGCTGCCGCGAGGTCTTGTATGTATCAGTCTTCTTCCTTAGAATTCTTCTAATGACTTTCCCCTGTACAATTAGTTTAATAGGAATATAATGCCACTGTAAAAGAATTCTCCTTTTGCTGAACCATGAGAATCATGACTTGACCTTTTTTAATTGATATTTTATTTTTTCAGCATTCCAAGACATGAGTCAGTCGACTTCAGAAGCTAATTCTGATGGAAATAGAATGAGTTCTTCACTTCAAATGCCCCACAATTCAAGCCTCTCTCTTTTTGCGGGTAGTTCATCAATCACATCTGACTACGGTAGTGACACTGCTTATGAGACATCTGAGCATGGAACACCTAGATTGGGAAGGGAAACTAATTCTGAAACTGGAATAGAGGATCTCATATTGGATGATGATTTGACAAATCCAATAGAAAAGCTTGTAAAATATGGCATGTCCAACATTGATGAAGGACTCTTTATGGGACAGACTATTCTAGAGCAGCTTGAAGGTTTTCCTAGGCATAAAGCAAATCCCAGGCATGTCAGTAATGTTTTTGCGAAGGATACCTATAATGGAAATGCTTCTAATGCTTCGTTTCTTGCAAGCAATGGGCTGGGACTTTTTGCAGAACCTGAGCCAAGTAAAATGGTCGGGCATGTCCGCAAACTATCTAATGAGAGTGTTGGAAGTGATGGAAGTTCCCTAAGGGGGAGTGAAATCTCAAACTCCTATCTTGACCTTCCAGGAGTTACTGATGTTTCAAGTACTGGAGGTATTATTGGCAATACTGATTTGCACTTTCCTGGTGATGCACAAATAGTTCTTCCATTGGATCAGCGGCACAAGATGAACAGGGTTCTTCTACTCATGCAGCAGAGACTCGTCACTGTAAAAACAGACATGGAGGATCTTATAGCAAGATTAAATCAAGAAATAGCCGTGAAGGATTACCTTAATACAAAGGTAAATCTATGTGCCTTTTAATAATGCTTCTAACATTATAGATTGAATTTCAACATTAATTTTGAAGCTTTGCATTGGGGTCATATTTATTTGAAGTTAAATCTTCAATTCTTTATTTTTTATAATATAGTGGTAAGTACGTAGAATGGTAAATTATATGAGCTTTTCAAGCATTAAGAGGCTTGGTAGATGGGTCTCTTTACCTCCATGGAGAAAATTTATGCATAAATGCCTGTTATATGTTTTGACTTGCATATCACATTGAGTGTAACTTAAGAACATGTGCATGCAGTCTAATTTTTATACATCTGGTACTTTTGGGGATGTTATGTGGCACAACTCATTACACCTTTACAGGTCACGGATTTGGAAGTGGAGCTTGAAACTACCAAACAGAAAAATAAAGAAAACCTCCAGCAAGCTATTTTGACTGAGAGGGAAAAGTTGACCCAGATGCAGTGGGATATGGAGGAACTTCGGCAAAAATCTTTGAGAATGGAGTTGAAGTTGCAGTCTAAACAGGTTACAAATTAACTACCATTTACTTTTTTTATTTATGTTCCTGTTTAGTTGCCCCCAGCTTTCTCATTTTCAAAATCCAGTTTGGTCATTTTCTGGGGTGAGTGGAGTTAGTTTGCCATCCTCTGTTCTCTCGGATTGGAAAAGGTGTTGAAGTTAATGCATCTGGCTCTCATTAATTAACGGAGGCTAATTATATGCAAAATTTATGCATATTCATTATCAATTTTATTATGATCTGATGCAAATGGGATGTGGTAGGGGCTGTCATTATTGATACTTCATATGCTTGCACTTATGATATTTTTTCAGTCCCTAGATACTAACGGAGATAAATGGCAATCCCACGTGCACAGCATATTGACTTTACCAATAATTTGTATTAATTTACATGGTTTGGCCATGATTCATTTTTAGGATGCACAGTCAAGCAAGGAACCGAAGGAACAACCCACCGGTCAAGAGAAAGATGTGGTGCTGCAGGAGCTGGATCTCACTAAACAGCAGCTAGAGAATCTTTCAAGGCAGTATGAAGAGCTAGAAGCTAAGTCAAAAGCGGATATCAAAATTCTTGTTAAAGAGGTTAAATCTCTCAGAAGTTCCCAAACACAATTGAAGCAGGAGCTGAATCAATCACTGAGGGAAAAATCTGAAGCTCAGGTTGTTTTAACTCTAGTGAAGCCTTTTTTATGTGCGGGTTTTTTCTTGCAAAAAGCGTTCGTGTTATAAAGTAGTGCTATATCTTTG